ATTTTGGCATTTTTCTATATACAGAGAAGCTATTTTGTCATTTAACAATTTCTAATTTTTATATCATCGTAAACTACAAAAGCAAAGCGTATTCCGCCGCCACATCGAAATGTATTCCAAAACGAAGTGCGCTCCACATTTGTATTTTAAGAACTAAATATTTTATGGCTTTTAGGGAAAGATCATAAAGTAAATAAAATCACTTGAGATCTCTTTCAAAAATATATTCACTTTGACAGAATGCTTGTTTTGTTTACCTCACCTTTGGAACCAATATTTGTATGTGACGACAAACATCGTGGGGGAAAAGAAAGCAAACAGAAAACATCGCAGTTCTAAAACATCGTGATACAAAATATCGTGGTCGAAAATAAAGCGGTTAAAAAACTTCGCAGTTTAAAAACATCGTCGTCGAAAATGTCGTAATAAAAAATAAAGTACCTACAAATCATCACATGACGATAACATCGCCCACATGCGTTTTTGAAATCCCATATTGACATATTATATAACTGATTTTCGTCATAACTAACAAATTGGCATACAAAAAATTGATTGCGTGCTATACATGAAAATGTTAACTACACTTTAAGAGTAAATAGAAACAAAGCAATATGTAATTTTGACTAAAAAAATCAGATTAACAAATGTGAAAGAAAAATTTTTTATCATTAACTAAGCAGTTTTTATAAAGGCAATCTCAGACAGTTATTTATCTTCCTTTAAGAATTTTTAGACTGTATTGTTCATAAAAAATATCAGTAAAACTTAATAAAAAATTAATTAATTAATGAGTTTTGCTAATTAATTATGTAAATTAAGTTCTATAAGTTGCATTAATTTTCTGTTCATTTTTAATTTTTAAATGCTGAAGTTTCCTTCTTATTTTTTTTCAGCAAAAATTTATTAGTTCGTTCAAAAATATGAAATATAGAAGTAAAAGAATTCATCTTTCCTCCTTGCTCTCCCAAACCGGCCCACCAGCGGCCGAGCGGTAACGTCTCTGAACACTGGTAGTTCGGTCCGAGGTTCGAATCCCGCGAACGGGCTGGCTGCATGGGTGTTTTCGTGGTTTTCCCCATGTGTAACGTGTATACGAGCCAGTTTCCCTTAGAAAGTCCTCCCCGAAGGCATCCCTCCCCTTAGGCAGATAGCCCTAGTGTGCTTTGCCATAATTAAATACAACAACAACAACAACACAGCTCTCCCAAACCATTATACGAACATGCATTTACAACTTTAAAAATCTGAAAACGTATGTGTGCGATGTTATCGTCATGCGAAGATTTGTAGTACTTTATTTTTTACACGATATTTTCGACGACTATGTTCTTAAACTGCGAAGTTCTTGAACCGCATTATTTTCGAGCACGATATTTTGTACCACGATGTTTTAGAACTGCGATGTTTTTTCTTTGCTTTCTTTTCTTCCACGATGTTTCGCCTTGCTTGTTTTATCCGCGACGTTTCCGCGATGTTTTTGCCACTATGTTTTCGTCGGACACCTTATTGGCTACATTATCTCTAAATTCATACAATACTTACCTATGGACACTACGAAACAGGGCTTTAAAGTTTCACTGTTATAGTATGAACTGATGTTCGGTAAAACATAGTGTTAACAGGCGCAACACCCTAGTGAACTGATGGTTGAGATTAAGCCCTGTTCCTAAACTGTGCTACTAAATTTTCATTTTTTCAAGTCTGAGCGAATATTGTGACATGAACCAAGAAGCGTAGGATAGGATTTAACTCAAATCTAATAGCTAATAACCCATAAATAAAATTTTGATTATCCTATATAAGTAAGAACTATATATGGTTAATATATTCTATTGCATCTATAAACAACGCACTGAAGTTAGGGACAGTATAATGTATATCTATCGTTTATATAAAATCTATATATACGTAATCAAAACCTTTTTTTTTAGTTCAAAGGGGCGAGTTGCCTAGAAGGACTGTTAGTTTAGTTTTGGTATTTTGTGTCGATTCACTTTCTGCGTTGTTTCACTTTTCAAATTGTTGCAACCAAACATTATCACCCTGTATTATATTTAAAGAAATTAAATAATGAAGAATCTGCATAAATGTATGTATGTTTCCGCCATTATGATAAAACAACAGCACCTAGAGCCATCGAATTTTGAATAACGTAATCTTTCACCAAATATGGCCATCTGGTAGCCCTCGTTTGGAATTTGGAATTTGTTTTATTATTATCTATACTATTAAAATCTGTGTGCCTCTGTCTGTTTGTGTGTTTGTAACATCATCTCCTCGGGAACGGCTGGGTGTAGAGCTTAGCGGAAGGTACCGTTGGATTCAGAATGCCCGTGGCTCGCCGGATTGACCATCGGCATCTTCGTGCGACTTTAATTAGCCGAGATATTAATTAAAAACTGATTTTCTCCCTACATTTCCCTACGTTTTGCACTTTCTTTCACGGGTTTCCCCTATTTTAGGGATTTGGCCGAGTGCCAAATTCGTTTTTTCTCGAATATCTGCGGAACGGCTCCGAGTTGCGATTCGACGAAACGCATATCCCCGTATTCGAAAAAAATCAACGAATCCATCGATACCGGTCCCATCTTCGTACGACAATAATCGGCGGAGTTATTAATTAAAAACTGCGAAAACGTTATTTCATTTTTCGGAGTGGCAACCGTCTCGGAATTAGCTGAGATAAAATTGCTTTTTCGAAAGCGCCGGGGGGATGACAATTGCTTCCGCTCGAGATTTGTGCTGGCGAAAGGTCACGTGTCAATTTCTTTTTTCTTAAATATCTATGGAACGGCGCTGAGTTGGAATTCGAGGCAGGTGTCTGCGGATTCCAAAAAATTCTACGAATCCAATGATACCATTCTCATCTTCGTAGGACGTTAATCAGCTGAGATATTAATTAAAAACTGTGAAAACGCTAATTTTCGGGCTCATTTTTCCGATTGCAACAGTTTCTTGAATCGCCGCAGATACAAATCAAGGTTATATTCTAAAGTTGAATAAAGCACGCGATTGCATGTTACCTAACTGTATTTTAAAAATATTTCGTTAATGTAGGCATTTTAAATAAACAGCTGCTTTTCACAATTTTTTTTTTAATTTCAGGTTAGGATGATTGTCACGTTAATTCTTTTATTGATATTGAATAAAAGTTTATTTATTTTTATTTACGTATTACGTATTGTGTAGCGGTATCCTGTATATAAGCGAAAAGCGGGCGCAGCCCGAAAAAACATGGCTTTCAGTCCAATTTTCGAATCCAGACGAACAGGCCGGCACCATAGGTGTTCACGTGATTTTACGCATGTGTAATGTGTATGCAGTACCTTATGGATTCATTTATGAATAAGACAGACGCAGCCCGCACAAAACCGTTGAACACTGGCAGTTTGGTCAAACTTTCGAATACCAGCGAATGGGCTGCCTGTATGAATGTCTTCGTGATTTTCCAGATGTGTAACGTTTATGAAGTATCTTGTGGATGCATACGTAAATAAAGCGGGTGGAGAAAACACTGGTAGTTCGGATCAAATTTCGAATCCAATCGTACGGGCTGGCTCCATGGGTTTTTTCGTGATTTTCCGCATGTGTATCGAGTAAACAGTATCTTCTGAATCCAGATGTAACCAAAGCGGGCGCAGCCCCCGAAAAACCGCTGAACACTGGTAGTTCGCTCCAACTTTCGATCCCGGCGAACGTGTTGCCTCCATGTATGTTTTCATGATTTTCCGCATGTGTAACGTGTATGCAGTATCTTTTGGATGCAAACGCGAATAAAGCGGGCGCAGCCCGCGTAAAATGGCTGAACGCTGGTAGTTCGGACCACCTTTCGAATGAAGGCCAACGGGCTGTCTCTATGGGTGTTTTCGTGATTTTTCACATGTGTGTCGTGTATGCAGTGCATTCTGGATGCATACTTTAATAAAGCGCGCGCGGCGCGCGCAAAACCGCTAGACACTGGTAGTTCGTTCCAACTTTCGGCAAGCGGGGTGGGTGCAAGGGTGTTTTCGTGATTTTACGCATATGTAACGTTTATGCAGTATCTTCTCAACGCATACGTGAATAAAGTGGGCGCAGCCCGCGCAAAACCGCTGAACACTGGTAGTTCAGTCCAAATTTCGGACACCCGCGAAAGGGGTGTTTGCATGGGTGTTTTCGTGATTTTACGCATGTGTATCGTGCACGCAGTATCTTCTGGATGCATACGAGAAAAAAGCGGGTTCAGCCCATGTTAACTAGCTCTACACTGGTAATTCGGTCGAACTTTCGAATATAGACTAAATTTAACATGGGAACTCATGAACATTGAACAATGAAAAGCGGGCTTCAGCCCGCTCAGCTGGCGGGCTTGCCCGCTAGTCTATACTATTAAAATCTGTGTGCCTCTGTCTGTTTGTTTGTGTGTTTGTAACATCATCTTCTCAAGAACGGCTGGGTGCAGAGCTTAGCGGAAGGTACCGTTGGATTCGGAATTCCCGTGGCTCGCCGTATTGACCATCGGCATCTTCGTGCGACTTTAATTAGCCGAGATATTAATTAAAAACTGATTTTTCTTCTACTTTCCCTACGTTTTGCACTTTCTTTCACGGGTTTCCCCTATTTTAGGGATTTGGCCGAGTGCCAAATTCGTTTTTCTCGAATATCTGCGGAACGGCTCCGAATTGCGATTCGAAACGCATATCCCCGGATTCGAAAAAAATCAACGAATCCGTCGATACCGGTCCCATCTTCGTACGACAATAATCGGCGGAGTTATTAATTAAAAACTGCGAAAACAATAATTTCGGCATTCAGTCTTCCGAGTGGCAACAGTCTCGGCAGCCGTTGGAGATAAAAATGCATTGGGAACGCCAAGGCCGTTCGCCACTAAAAAACTAAGAATAAAAAATTAAAATAACTTAAAGGAATAAACTGAAAAGCTAAAATAAAACTAAAAATAGAAACATTCTCTTCATTTAGTTGTCGTTAGTTGAATGTAGATTGGTTTATGCCCTTGATAAGTCGAGTAAATGACGTCATAGATAAAATAAAAAGTTTTTTTTCCCGGTCTGGCAACAGATCAAATAGAATCAAAAGTTTAGTTTCCTGGTTTGGCAACAAAAAATTTATTTACGAATTTAGGATTTGGAAGGAGACCGTCGCAATTTTTTCCAACATACTAAATTTCGTAAATATACTTATTATTACTCATTGCACTTAATCTTTATTTCTTTTTACAGGTTATTTGATTGTTTTTTGCATTTGTATTTGTAGTTTTAGTAATTTAAAGTAGTATTTTAGACTTTTATATGCTCCTGTTAGTTAAGGACTTGAGAATTCTTTGGAACATTTAACTTTTGTGATATATTTGATATTTTCTTCGTATTTTTTTAAAGATCTATTCATTCGTATTATATATTTGTGTTTTTGTTGCTTGAAAAATTTCATTTGCGTTTTTTGTTTTTGACATTTTACTGTGTGTGGTAACAACTATCGTTTTAAGGCGATCGAATGTTCTTTTTGTAGATGTATTAGTTAATTTTTGCTTTTAAATTTCAGAATTGATTTCATAACTTTTTAATTTATCTTTGCATTTATACTTTTATTTATTTTGCGTTTATAATTTTCATTTTCTTTTTTATGTGAGTTGTGCGATAAAAACTATCGTTTGAAGGCGATCGAATGTTCTTTTTTTAGATGTATTAGTTCATTTTTGCTTTTAAAATTCAGAATTGATTTCATAACTTTTTAATTTATATTTGCATTTTTACTTTTATTTATTTTGTGTTTGTAATTTTCATTTTCTTTTTATGTGCATTGTTTTCAGATTAGCTGAAATATTAGAAATATTTTCAAAATTGTTAAGTGTGCTTAGAATTTTCATAGTATTTTACCTATATTATTTGTTATTTACCAGCAATTTTGTAATCGGCAAGTTTTGGTTTTACATTTTTGATTTTTTAAAATTAATTAGCTCTTGAGCGTATAATTTTTCATTTAGTGTGGGATTATTATAAAATTTGTGTTGTGTACATTTAGATTGCATTAATTTATTTTCAGGAGTATTGTTTTAACTAGCAAGTTTATTCTTTCATCTTTTACGTTCGGTTATTACTTTTTTAGTTCAGTTATTGCTTTAGTAGAGTAGTATTTTTTTTTAACGTACTGAAATGCCGAAACGGAAAAGAGGCATTACGGGAGAAGCATTGAGACGGCGAAGAGCTGAAGCACAAAGGTTACGGCGAGCTGCAGAAAATGAAGAAGAAACTGCTACAAGACTGAGCACGCAAGCAGAGCGTCAAGCAAACCTACGTGCTCAAGAAACGAAAGAAGAAACTGTTACGAGACTCAGCAGGAAAGCGCAACGACAAGACAACTTGCGTGCTGAAGAAAGTGAAGGAGAAACCAGTAGGAGATTAAGCATGCAATCAGAACGTCAAGCAAACCTACGCGCTCAAGAAACCGAAGAAGAAACGAGTAGGAGACTAAGCAGGGAAGCGGAAAGACAAGAAAACTTACATGCTCGGGAAAGCGAAGAAGAAACCAACAGGAGGCGCAGACTGGACTCTCATCGTCATCGTCAAGTTCGCGCGGAAGAATCGGAAGAGGATGCTGCTACTCGAAGAACACGAGATGCTGCACGTCACAGACAAGTCCTATCCGAAGAAACCATGTCAGTACGAGAAGACAGACTACGTACAAATGCAGCACAACGTTCGCGTAGCACTCTGCACAGTGCAGGAAGATGTGGACTCGAAGTTTCCGTTGAGCAGCACAGCGCCGGTTCAATGGAAGCTTCCTGCGATCTCTGCAACGGATTGTTCTTTACGGGAGAAAGGAATGCAAGAGGAAGATACATGCACTGCTGTAACAACGGGAAAATTGTCGAAGCTGAAAGAAGATATCCAGAAGTTGGCGCAATTTAATGAATGGGAACCACCCATTTTCTGAAGAGTTTTTTGCCAACATACGCACTTACAACTGCCTGCTCAGTTTTGCTTCATTGGGTGCCAATATAGAAATGCCTTCGGGTTCGGGTCCCTACTGCTTCAGGATTCACGGTGCCATATATCATCGAACGAGCCACCTTCATCCGCCTCATCCCGGTCAAGAACAGTATGCTCAGCTGTACATTTTAGATTCGGATCAAGCCCTCAGGCAGAGAATGAACATATTTGGAAATGTTGCCCTGAACGCCGAACTCCTGAGACAGTTGGACACAGTTTTAAGGAACGTTAATCCATATGCGGAAGCCTACAAGATGCTGAAGGAATTCGAAGAAGAAACTGTACGAGAGCAAGGTGCCGAAACTGCTGCGGATATCCGCATGTACATCAAGGGTGAAAGTGTAGGTACGGGCGAACACAGAGGACGTTACAATGCTCCGAAAGAAAATGAAGTTGCAGTCGTCTTCAAGAGTACGGACGGCGCTCCTCCATCGAACCGAGACATCGTGATCCATCCGAGAGGTGGCGGTCTCATCAACATCAGTACCTTAAATCCCAACTTGGAACCCATGACGTACGTACTTTTCTTTCCTCACGGCGAGCAAGGATTCAGAGTCGGACAGCAATACACAGAGTTACAGTCACAGGGTGTCCGTACGACGACGAGATTGCTACAACCCGATTTTTGTATGGCCGGAAATTGTTTCAGCAGTATCTCGTGGATGCATACGTAAAAGTTGAAGGCAACAGGATTGCGTACCTCCGGAGCCATCAGACGAATCTGAGAGTGGAAACTTACATGGGTCTTGCCGATCACATTTACAGAGTTGGTCAAGAGACGGGCGTCCGCCCTGGAATACCGGTTATACTTCCGTCAACGTTTATAGGAAGCCCTCGCTGCATGCAGCAAAACTATCAGGACTCGATGGCCATTGTGCGCGACTTTGGTAAACCGGATCTGTTTTTGACTTTCACGTGCAACCCTAAATGGCCGGAAATAACAGAAAACTTATTCCCAGGACAGAAGGCTCACGATCGCCCGGACATCGTTTCGAGGGTATTTGACCTGAAGAAAACGGCTTTGATGCAAGATTTGACAAAGAATCACATCTTAGGTGCGACCATTGCAGATATACACGTCATCGAATTTCAGAAGAGAGGATTGCCTCATATGCACCTTTTGTTGTTTTTAGCGGAAGAAGACAAAATAAGAGATGCAGAGTGCATCGACTCGCTGGGTGTGTGCTGAACTTCCAGATGCTACTCGACATCCGGAGCTACACAACATTGTGAAGTCATCGATGATTCACGGACCCTGCGGTGTGAACTGAATAGAAACTCTCCCTGCATGAGTGATGGTGTATGTTCGAAAGGATTTCCGAAACCGTTTCAGGCAGAAACTAAAGAGAACGTGAATGGCTACCCACTCTACAGAAGAAGGGACGATGGAACTTAATCGTGGAACTTTATCGTGATCAAGGGTCATGCCATCGATAACAGATGGGTCGTTCCTTACAATCCGTATTTATCGAAAAAGTACAACGCCCACATAAACGTTGAAGTATGCAGCTCCATAAAATCGGTGAAGTATTTGTTCAAATACGTGTACAAGGGTCATGATGCAGCTAAAGTTGTTCTGGAAGAATCTGGAGATAGAACTTTAATGTGGGACGAGATCAAATGCTTCTTAAATGCAAGATACGTGTCTGCCCCTGAAGCAGCGTGGAGGCTGTTTGAAAAAAGAATGCATTCTAAGTCGCACTCCATCATACGACTACCGGTTCATTTGGAAAACCTGCAGCCCGTCTATTTTGCCGAATCCGAAGACGAAGAAAGGAATGCTTTCCAGAGAGCTGCCGAGAAAAATACCATGCTCACCGGATGGTTTGAACTGAACAGGACAGTTCCCGAAGCGAATGGTTACCTGTATGCCGAAATTCCTAAACATTTCACCTGGAGGAATCATGCCTGGCAGACACGAGTTAGACTTGGAGATTACATCATTTCAAGAATGTATTCTGTTAGCCCGAAAGATGTTGAGCGTTTCCATCTGAGGTTGCTGCTGTGTCACGTTAAAGGAGCGAAGAGTTTTGCCCCGACTTAAGAACTTACGAAGGTGTGGAGTATTCAACGTTCAAGGAAGCCTGCCGTGCAAGGCATCTGCTGCAAGACGACGAAGAATGGAAAAAATACTCTGGCAGAAGAAGCATCGGGCTTTTCAAATGCCACCGCAGCTAAGACAGCTTTTTTGCTTCATCTGTGTTTTCTGCAACCCTGCGGAACCCGTCGCTTTGTGGAATGAATTCAAAGAGTCCCTTTCTGAAGATTTTGCGAGATCTTACTCCTTAGAAGACAGTTTTCAGCCTTGCACTGAGAAGTATAGAAGACCAGTTTAGAAGTGCACAATGTTTCGCTATGTTCTCTTGGTCTCCCGCAACCAACATTTGACTGATGCTGTTTCTCTCGAAGTCCCGCAGTTCGATGTCCAGTATGAAAACGAACAAGCCGAAGTGTTGAACGGGATGTTGAATCCTGAACAGAAATTAGTTTACGACTTGGTTTTGGAAGCTGTACGAGATGAGAATCCTAACACACCGAAGACATTTTGTGTTAATGCGTTTTGCCGGAGCTGGAAAAACTTTCCTTTTTAGGACGATCCTTCATGCTGTTCGAGGAATGGGCCACGTTGCCATTCCCGTTGCGTGGACAGGCATTGCTGCTGTGCTGTTGACCGGTGGAAGAACTGTACACTCTACTTTCAAGTTGCCCGTTCCACTTCTGGAAAATTCTTCGTGCCGTGTGAGACAAGATAGCGCTGAAGGAAGGTACTTGAAGACTGCGAAACTTTTCATATGGGATGAATGCACCATGACGCCTCATTACGCTTTGGAAGCTGTCGACAGATTGCTGAGAGACTTGACCGGACTGGATGTTCCTTTTGGCGGTAAAACCTTAGTTTTAGGAGGTGACTGGAGACAAACATTACCTGTTGTCGCACATGGAAACCGAACTTCTGCGATCGAGAGCTGCCTCAGGAACTCCTTTTTGTGGCCACATTTCAAACAATGCACGCTTTCCACCAATATGCGATTGAATCCGGAAGAACAAGAATTTTCAGAATGGCTTCTGCAGTTGGGAGACGGTCGTCTTAAAAATGACAGTGGCTTGGACGAAGACATTATCGAAATTCCATCTTTGTGTGTGGTCAACAGATCGATAGTAGAAGAAATGTTTGGCTGCGGTAATGAATTCGACTTACAAGACTTGGCCAGTAAAGCGATTTTATGTCCAAAGAACGAGGAAGCTCTGAAGCTTAATGAAGAAATTCTTTCCACGTTTCCAGGTCAAGTTTTCACGCACTACAGTGCAGACTCGGTTATTTGCGATGACGAAGAAGAACAAGAAACGTATCAGCTGGATTTCATCCACAGCCTGACGCCTTCTGGAATGCCACCCTCATCGTCTGAATTTGAAAGTTGGAGTTATAGTTATGCTTCTACGAAATCTACATCCATCGGTTGGACTCTGCAACGGAACAAGGCTCATTGTGAAGAGAATTATGCCAAACGTTTTAGATTGTGAAGTCATCTCTGGACAGAATGCTGGATCGAGAGTTTTTCATTCCACGTGTTGAACTTTCACCATCAGATTCAAACCTCCCCTTTCAGCTCAAGCGAAGACAGTTTCCCATCAGGCTTGCATTTTGTATGACTATTAATAAGTCACAGGGACAGACGCTTAAGAAAGTTGGGAATTTATTTACCGCAACCAGTTTTCAGTCATGGAATGCTTTACGTAGCTTTTTCAAGATGTTCGTCTATGAGGAATGTTCGTGTTTTAGTGAAAGACACCAAGAAGCAAGGCCGTTTGATGCCCGCATGTTCTAAAGTATTCACAAGAAATATTGTTTACAGGGAGGTTCTGCAGTAAAAAAGTTACTCGAGACATTGAAACAGTGAGATTTTTGCAACACAAAATGAAGTTAATCAAGCCAAAGCAAAAATGAAAAAAGATTTGAGGTTTTTGGATGACTGGGATAAATTGAAGCAAGTCAAGATGAAGCTGAAACAGTTTGAGAATGATGCATTAGTCGGCTTTTATGTCTCTTGTTACAAAGTGGAATTTGTAGTAGTTAGGCAATCGGAAGCTGTATTATTTTTTCAATGTTGTAAATATTTTTTATAAATTTTCCTTTTCAGGTCTACATACAATTGCGTTCATTAATTTTAAAACATTTTATGTATTTTTCTTTTTTAGGTATTTATGGAACTGATTTTCAAATTTTTTTCATTCATAAAAATATTTTTTTTTCAGGTGTATATAGAAATGATTTCATTCAAATTAAAATGTTTTTCTTTTCAGGTGTACATAGAACATGTAAATTTCTTTTTGTAAATAATTTTCTTCTATTCATTGCTTGCATTTTTGTAAACACACACAATATATATATATCTTAATTGTTGTGTGTGTATATATATATATACAATTGCATCATATATATATATATATATACATATATTTATATATAGTGATGCAATTTTGTCTATGATTCTGTAACAGCAGACCAGGGAAGGGGCTGATACCTGGGAGAAAAAATAACCCCCTGGTCGATGAGGTTGCAGAGGAGACCCCAGGTGTCAGGCAGTTTATGCCGTCAAAAGCCCACCAATTTTTTCTGTTTACATTTTTTTTTTTTTCTGTTGCAAGTTTTTGTGTTTAATATAAACTTATAACTAAGAAATTATTATTATTATTATTTCTTTTCAGATAAATACGGATTGTAGCTCGCCCATCTGGCGTACTTACTCGGTAGATTTTAAAAATTATTTTCTGTTTTCTTTGAACTATTGACGCAATAAACTGATTTCATTCATATAAAATATTTTGTTTTGCATGATATTTAATATACTCAAGGGATAGGCCTGTAATGTCTTTCCCAAAGTTTGTGTCTTTTATAGACATAGGTACAGTAAAATATTTGACGGGTTCACACGACCGACATTTTATGAAACGTTTGGAAAAGTTTCTGTGTACTGCCCTACTGTGTTATCCAAAGAACAACAGTTGCAGTAGTTGATGATAATGTGTGTACAGCCCCAATAATGGGAGACAAGGACATTTTGGAGTTTGTTCAAAGCT